GATGCTCGCACCCCACAAAACGCAGAGCTGAGATTCACCTTGCCCCAGGCCCCGGTGCTGACAGTGCTGCCTTGGGTGGCAGGGACAAGGCAGGGGGCAGGCTGGGGGCCTCCAGGGGCTTTGCCAATCTCATCAGTCTGACTTTCCCCACAGGCTCCAGCCAGGCAAGCCAATTGCACATCTCATCCTACTCCCAGCTGCAGCCTGAGAGAAGAGCACTTCCAGCATCCAAACCATTCCCCAGGTCACCCTGGAAAACATCCCGGCTCAGGCAACCGAGAGGAATGGCTCCCACCAGCCAAGATCCCAGCCTTCCTCTTCCTCTGTGTCGGGCAGCTGAGGCAGCCAGCTTGCCCCTCTCCAGGCACTGGCTTTTCACAGGCAAAGTGAACCTCCCTCTCCCTGGGGACGTGACACCCCCAGAGCTGCAGCAGAGCTGTACAAGCGCGGGGTTTGCTAGGTGGCCCACAACCCCGCCAGCAAGGCTCTAAAGCTGATTTCCCTCAGCCCTGGCCCAAGCTGGCTGCTCACCCAGACCCCCTCTGCCATGGAGAAGTCTCTGGAAACACTGTCACCTTCTGCTTGTGGCATTTTCCTGGAATCCCCCTTCCCGGCCTCTGTAATAGTTACGGTGTCTTCAGACCCCGACTCACGTGATGGGTTTGGTATGCAACTCTCAAGGCCAGGAAGGTCGCTCACCTTGGTTATTTAGCAAACACAACTCCAATTATTAACGCTAATACAAATAATGCCCACGTTTGGGAGAGGAGAAGGAATACTCTCCGTGCCTGGCTGCTAGGACGTGACGTTACAGGAACTGGAACATCCACGCGTCCCGCAGAGCGCAGGGCTGACCAGCCCTGGGGGTATCTGCCCTAATGCCAGAACCCACATCTCACACCAGGCCTGTAAAGGAGGGGTACGTGTTTCTGAAGGTGTTCTGAGGCATTGCACTGCAGTTCCAGTCCTTCCACAAATCAATGCAAAAAAAAAAAAAAAAAAAAAAAAGCAGCTGGCTCAGAGCAAGCTGCAGCAGCCAGACAGCAGCGTATTGCACTTGTCGGCCCAGCACATCCCTTCCTGTGTGCTGCCTGCACCTTGTCCCTTGAGGACATTCTTGTCCAAGGCTGTAAGAGGCACTTGGCAATATTTATAACAAAAAATTGCATTCAGGTTTGGTCTCCTTTGCAGTTCTTACCCTGCCCACCTACCCTGGGCCACCAGGCTCCTCCCTTAGAAGGGAGAGAGAGACCAGCGTAGGACATTCTTCCGTGGAGCACGACTAACACGGAACTCCCATCTACCTGTTTTCATATTAACAAGGTTTCCTGCACGCAGAGGCACACGTGGAACCTGGTTTCTATAGGCTGGACCGGAGGCACAGATCTTGTGAATGGGCTTTGCCATCTTTGAGGGTAAAGCTACCAAATAGAAGTATTCCTGCCTTTGAGACAATCACGTTGCCGCTACAATGTGCGGACTCCTGCTTGTCTAGAAACAGATGGCTTGAGCTGTTTGAGTTGGGCATATTCACAAGCTGATAATCATCTCCAGGGAGGCAGGAGCTATTGTCAGAGCCTGTGAGACACACCCCAACTTCAGGCCTTTTTCCTTCTAATTCTCAAAATGTTGCTGAAATTCTCACTACAGGAATGCTGAGCAGAGACATTCCCTTTGTGGGTTTGTGCCCGCTAAGCCAGAAGAGGCTCCTGGCTTTCACCGAAGCCAAAGTGCTTCCCCGCACCCTGCTGAGAGAAGGTGTCTCGAAACATGAGGGGCCTCACCTGGCCACCAAAAAAAATAAACTGTGCTTTGCCATGGTACTGCCGGGAGCCAAGGGGAAGAATACACCCTCTCCCCAGAGACAGCACATGAGTTAAAATAAGAAAGCAAAAGAAATAATTCTGGAGAAGAAACAGTTATTTTACACTATGTGCAGCTCTAAGACGTGTGTTGGCACGCGGCTGCCAATGTAAGAGAGCACGTGCCTGAGGCACAGACGCCCAGTGCAACTGCGCAGCGATGTACAGAATCTGCGCGGACAGGCATCTGCTGCCTAAGAACCCCAAAGGTATCACAAACCTCAATTAATAATCTACACTGATGTCATTTCTCTACAGGGCCAAAGCCTTTCTGGGGAATGCCGTCCAGCTGCTTGAGCAGGAAGAGGGCATTTTACTGACATAGGCCAGGTCTCTCTCGATGCCCCGCGAAGAGAGACCCAGCACCCAGCCCGCCCTGCCTTGGAAACTGCTCTGACCCCTGCCCAGCTGCAGAGCATCTGACACCCAGACCTGGGAACCCTCCGCAAAAAGCTCTGTTCCAGCTGTGCCATGCAAGGAAACCCAGACAGAAAGTGTCAATAAGCCCAGAGGCACACGCAGGCTGACAGAGACAGGACAAGTGGCTCCAGGACAAGGCCTAACCACGCTCACAATATTTATGGCATGAATTTCACTCATTTTAATTCACAAGTGATTAGTCTTGGAAAGAAGCAAGTAAGATCTGGCTCAGAATGGGGCATGGGTATGTTGAGCCAGACGGAAAGAGGTGGCAAGATCATCATAAGAAATAAATGCAGGTGAGCCAACCCAGGCAGGGGGGCACGCCCCTCGGGATAGCGCGTTTTCTCTGGGATCCTGAACGCCTCAGCAAAGCCTGCTGTCAGCGAGTCCTGAGAGGAGGCTGGACAAGCAGTCAAGAATAGGATCAAAAATAGGATGGATTTTTCTTAGTTACTGTCCTGGTACTTGGGCTCATGAGTATAAAGGGACACCCTCTGCTCACTCACCTGCTAGCCAAGCATGACCAAGAACCAAAGAATAAGACATATCTCACGTTGACTGGTGCTTTTAAATTCTTCTTCCTTAGCAGAAACGCCGGTATTTTCTACTCTTAACGGTTTCTGAGGCTGTGATATTTCTTGCCTTGTCTCTTCTTGGCAAGCGATCATCTGTAGCAGTAACAGATGATCTAGCAACAGTCTCGCATCACAGCATGTCAGGAAAGAGGCAGCCCAGTATTTGTAATCAGTGCATCACTTCAGAAAGAAGAACCTCCACTAGATCTGTGTAAATACGGTTATTTATTTTTTAATAAGTCTAAAGGGCTTCACTCTCCCACTTTAGGGCACCTTTTTTCTTTAGTTCCTCAAATAAAGAGGTCATTTTGCTCACCATTGAATCCAGCAGCCCATAAACCTGCAGCAGAAGTTAACAGAAGATAGTTGCAGTGAAAACACATGAAGAAACCCCGATGAAGAGACTGACAGACAGGGAGATTGTTTCCCACGCACACTAACGTATGGGCATGCACACAACCACATAAAAGTGGCTGCCTGCTAACAGCGCTTAGCTCTAGTAATGACTTTTCTGGCTATGAAATGTGTTTAACATTATCCGAGATACAATTAATTATGCTGATCCCTCAAGAGTCCACAAGCATGCCAAAGACATCCCAGATAGAAATTCTGCATGTGGCTATGGGATGGCTGGATTTATGTTAACAGATTCCAGGCTGGAATAAAGGACATCATACTTTGCATTCCACACTTACCTTGCTACAGAATTACAGACATATGTTTGTCAGTTTTCCGAGTTTAACAAAATGATTATGTCTCCACCTAAGCTTCAGTGTAAGCTTACAAGCAATGAACAAAACCAGGAAACAGAGACACAAGCTTTGGTCAGACTCACTTCAATATAAAGTTTTTCCTGGTATGTCCCGAACAAAATCGGGTCCACCTGCTCCTGAGGAGATTCTACTCTATCTGTAGTTACAGCGTCCATGGGCTGTGCTCCCTCTTTCATCTCCTGCGATGAAGTAGAAGATTTCAGCTTTCTCTCATCTTTTACTTTTAATTTTCTGCTGCTTGGACGTTCCTATTCAGGGGAACAAAAAAAAAAAAAAAAAAAAAACCAAAAAAAGAAACCAAACCAAACCAACCAATTTTCTATAGGCTGGACCGGAGGCACAGATCTTGTGAATGGGCTTTGCCATCTTTGAAGGTAAAGCTACCAAATAGAAGTATTCCTGCCTTTGAGACAATCACGTTGCCGCTACAATGTGCAGACTCCTGCTTGTCTAGAAACAGATGGCTTGAGCTGTTTGAGTTGGGCATATTCACAAGCTGATAATCATCTCCAGGGAGGCAGGAGCTATTGTCAGAGCCTGTGAGACACACCCCAACTTCAGGCCTTTTTCCTTCTAATTCTCAAAATGTTGCTGAAATTCTCACTACAGGAATGCTGAGCAGAGACATTCCCTTTGTGGGTTTGTGCCCGCTAAGCCAGAAGAGGCTCCTGGCTTTCACCGAAGCCAAAGTGCTTCCCCGCACCCTGCTGAGAGAAGGTGTCTCGAAACATGAGGGGCCTCACCTGGCCACCAAAAAAAATAAACTGTGCTTTGCCATGGTACTGCCGGGAGCCAAGGGGAAGAATACACCCTCTCCCCAGAGACAGCACATGAGTTAAAATAAGAAAGCAAAAGAAATAATTCTGGAGAAGAAACAGTTATTTTACACTATGTGCAGCTCTAAGACGTGTGTTGGCACGCGGCTGCCAATGTAAGAGAGCACGTGCCTGAGGCACAGACGCCCAGTGCAACTGCGCAGCGATGTACAGAATCTGCGCGGACAGGCATCTGCTGCCTAAGAACCCCAAAGGTATCACAAACCTCAATTAATAATCTACACTGATGTCATTTCTCTACAGGGCCAAAGCCTTTCTGGGGAATGCCGTCCAGCTGCTTGAGCAGGAAGAGGGCATTTTACTGACATAGGCCAGGTCTCTCTCGATGCCCCGCGAAGAGAGACCCAGCACCCAGCCCGCCCTGCCTTGGAAACTGCTCTGACCCCTGCCCAGCTGCAGAGCATCTGACACCCAGACCTGGGAACCCTCCGCAAAAAGCTCTGTTCCAGCTGTGCCATGCAAGGAAACCCAGACAGAAAGTGTCAATAAGCCCAGAGGCACACGCAGGCTGACAGAGACAGGACAAGTGGCTCCAGGACAAGGCCTAACCACGCTCACAATATTTATGGCATGAATTTCACTCATTTTAATTCACAAGTGATTAGTCTTGGAAAGAAGCAAGTAAGATCTGGCTCAGAATGGGGCATGGGTATGTTGAGCCAGACGGAAAGAGGTGGCAAGATCATCATAAGAAATAAATGCAGGTGAGCAAACCCAGGCAGGGTGGCACGCCCCTCGGGATAGCGCGTTTTCTCTGGGATCCTGAACGCCTCAGCAAAGCCTGCTGTCAGCGAGTCCTGAGAGGAGGCTGGACAAGCAGTCAAGAATAGGATCAAAAATAGGATGGATTTTTCTTAGTTACTGTCCTGGTACTTGGGCTCATGAGTATAAAGGGACACCCTCTGCTCACTCACCTGCTAGCCAAGCATGACCAAGAACCAAAGAATAAGACATATCTCACGTTGACTGGTGCTTTTAAATTCTTCTTCCTTAGCAGAAACGCCGGTATTTTCTACTCTTAACGGTTTCTGAGGCTGTGATATTTCTTGCCTTGTCTCTTCTTGGCAAGCGATCATCTGTAGCAGTAACAGATGATCTAGCAACAGTCTCGCATCACAGCATGTCAGGAAAGAGGCAGCCCAGTATTTGTAATCAGTGCATCACTTCAGAAAGAAGAACCTCCACTAGATCTGTGTAAATACGGTTATTTATTTTTTAATAAGTCTAAAGGGCTTCACTCTCCCACTTTAGGGCACCTTTTTTCTTTAGTTCCTCAAATAAAGAGGTCATTTTGCTCACCATTGAATCCAGCAGCCCATAAACCTGCAGCAGAAGTTAACAGAAGATAGTTGCAGTGAAAACACATGAAGAAACCCCGATGAAGAGACTGACAGACAGGGAGATTGTTTCCCACGCACACTAACGTATGGGCATGCACACAACCACATAAAAGTGGCTGCCTGCTAACAGCGCTTAGCTCTAGTAATGACTTTTCTGGCTATGAAATGTGTTTAACATTATCCGAGATACAATTAATTATGCTGATCCCTCAAGAGTCCACAAGCATGCCAAAGACATCCCAGATAGAAATTCTGCATGTGGCTATGGGATGGCTGGATTTATGTTAACAGATTCCAGGCTGGAATAAAGGACATCATACTTTGCATTCCACACTTACCTTGCTACAGAATTACAGACATATGTTTGTCAGTTTTCCGAGTTTAACAAAATGATTATGTCTCCACCTAAGCTTCAGTGTAAGCTTACAAGCAATGAACAAAACCAGGAAACAGAGACACAAGCTTTGGTCAGACTCACTTCAATATAAAGTTTTTCCTGGTATGTCCCGAACAAAATCGGGTCCACCTGCTCCTGAGGAGATTCTACTCTATCTGTAGTTACAGCGTCCATGGGCTGTGCTCCCTCTTTCATCTCCTGCGATGAAGTAGAAGATTTCAGCTTTCTCTCATCTTTTACTTTTAATTTTCTGCTGCTTGGACGTTCCTATTCAGGGGAACAAAAAAAAAAAAAAAAAAACCAAAAAAAGAAACCAAACCAAACCAACCAAACAAATGGTGACATAGGTCAGAACACCTTTCAGGTTGTTGCAAGATGCAGCACCTCTTTCACTGGGTTGGCAACCAGCTCAAACTCAGGATACACAACCTCAGAATGGATCGCACTGTCCCCAGCACTGAGGTTAAAAAAGGCATCCCAGCACCTACCTCTTTCTCTTTCTCTGCTGTCTTTGTTGTTCTTTTTTTGCCTTCTTTATCCTTACCACCAAATGACCTTCTCTCTTCTTTCCTAGTGGTTATTCTGTCTTCATTTCCGCCTTTCATAAGTTGCTTTATTTCCACTACAAAATAAAAGAATTTCAATTACCCAAAAGCAATGTTTTCACATGCAGAAAGACAAGCCCACTGCACTCATACAGTAGAAGTTCATTACTTTTGCAATGCATTTTCCTCTTTTTTATTAATCCGAGCTGTACTGCACTGAAAAAGCAATACTTTTGAAGAGTCCTTTGTTTAAACAAGGAACAAACAGCTCCCAGACGTGTATCAGAATGAGCCTGTAAGACAGCTAATAGGTGAGATCGGGTTTAGTCTGTGTGAAAACCATGGCTACATCTAGCTAAATTAAAAGGCTTATTTGCGTGGTGTTTTTTTCATGACACCAAATCACAGATCACAATCAGTATCACACAATCGGTCAGTTTTTCTGATGCATTTTCTTATAAAAGCTTTGAGGGGGAGCTGCTGAAATTGCCATTTCAGTTGAAATTCAGCACGTTTTCTGCATTCCCAACAGTCTACAGAAACTGATTGCTGTGCTAAAACTACCGTTTACCTGTTTCCTCTGGATCAACATAGGTGTCCTTCTCAGGCAAGCCAAGCAGGGATCTCAGCTTCAGAGAGTGACTCACCAGACCATCAATTGTTTCACGCCACAGCTGGAGACTGAGAAAAGTATCAGAATCAGAAGGGAGACAAGCACAGCCATCACCATCTTGGCTTACCCTGCACCCAGGAGTGAAGGCACCTTACAGCTGAGAGCTGCTCTGTCCAACTAAATCAATAAAATAGCACTTGCCATCTAAAAAATCTGTGCTGAGGGAAGCTGAATTACTTCCCTCGTGTTTGAGCCCTCTGAGGTCTCAATGGTTTGCAAATCAATGGGCTCATACGGACCAATAAATATTACTGTGAAACGAGATCTGCTCTTCAACATGACACATGTAGGTAAATCAGCATTGACCTGCTCTCTGTGTTTACCAAGAGGAACCTGCGCCCTTGTAATTTAGAAGCAACTAGAAGCTGTTGATATGTTTACAGTCTGAAAGCCTGAGCAAAGAACAGAGAGACTGTATGAGGGAGGATATGGTTATCTGAGTGAAAGGATAGAGAAAATTACCCAAAGCTTTCATAAACACAGACTAGAATAATCTTGCCAGCAATAATCTTATATACTCCCCAAAATTACATTAATGTAATATTCTAAACTTATGTCCCCCCCAAAAAAGAAGAAAAAAGGCATTTGGGTCTTAGACAGCTGTTACAATTAATCTATTAAAAAAACCAAACCCAGAGCGTAAAGACAACTTCTAGACTTCATATAATTATCTGCACTCTGAATCACAACGCTTGCAACAGAGCTTGCTAAGGCTGCGATCACATGATGCATTTACAAGCTTTATCTTGCAAAGGTAACGCACCAGGTTTGATACAAAAGGTCTGACTGAGTTGGCCTCTGTTCAACACACAGCTCCAGCGCTGCCTTATTGAGCTGGGTCAGCGCTGCTTCTCGCTGCTCCTCCTTGGGGATTGACTTTATAGCCTGGTGTGAGAGAAAACACAGGGTCTGTGGAGCGCTTCTTCTCAGCCTTCATTCCCAGTCCGTGAGCCCTGAGCTCAACGGCTCTCTTCCTGGACACCAGTCTGAAAACAGGTTGCACTGGACACTTATGCACCTTAATCCCAGCCTCCTAAACAGCTGGGATTTGGCCAAGGTGCACACATGACCCAAGATCTGGGGAGCAATCCTAGCCCCCCAAGTCGGATTCACAGTAAGCCCCTTCGCAGCATCACAGGTGTGCTGGAGAACAGGGACTCCAGCGAGCTGGGAGGCCCTGAAGTAAAGATTAGTTATAAAAGCAGCAGAAAGATTTCCAAGAGAGCACTACAGAAAAATTGTGCTGACAGAATCCAAACCACTCTTGCTTTAATCTAGGGAGATCTGTACTTTATCCACAGCCTGCCATGAGTGCCCCCTTAGTGCTCTGATTAATAGGGAGGACTCTCCAAGGACAGCAGCCCTTGGGGAAGCCACAGGAGGCTGCAGGATTAGCCTGCGCCCCCGCATTCAGTCCTGGGATGACAGAAAGCTAATGGGAGAAGAGCTTAAAATATCTATTACATTGCATGGTTCTCTTTTCTTCTTCACACAACAGCCCTCAAAGTCCCTCTTGGGAATCTGCTTTACAAAAGCACCAAGGGTGTGGTCAGCAGAGCTGAAGTGCTTTTCTGTGATCATAAATCATCTGTAACTCACAGCACGCTGGAAGCAGACCTTTGGGCAGGCCAGGCTATTTGTA